GCCAATCAGTTTTCTTGAGTACTTGTAGCAAATTGCTAACACAATCAATCATAGATTTTGTTCTTAAGACTTCCTGCTGTTTTTCAAAGGGAGATACAAACTTTTTATGTTTCTGTTTCTGTATATCCAGCTAAAACTGCCATTTAATTTCATGATTCAAAATAGAACCTACACTGTCACTCTCAAGCTAGTCTGTGTATTGCACTGGCCTCACCAAAAATTAGAGAACTCATTAAGCAAAATAAGGAATTGCAAAAAGTGAAAAACTGCTTTCACATAAAAAAAGGCAAGCAATTCCAATTGATCCCTACTTCTCTTTCTTGGAGCCTTGGCTTAAAGTTACCACATCAGAAATAATATTTGCATGAATATAATTGATTGTTGCTTTTGTGTTGAATTGCAACGTATCAGTCGAGGAGAGCTATAAAATACAGTGGCATCATTTTCAGCTCTTCAGGCTTTGCTATTGGAGCTTTGAGCTGAAATACAGACACACCAACTACGAGAAACAAATGAAAGCTGTCACCAGTGTCAGTAGCAAAAACCGGGGGTCCATCCACACAAATTATGGACATCTGTATTCCTAATTGGCATCATTTCAGGCTGTGCCAGCAGAATGGTGGTGCCAAGAGAGTCTGACAGCTTTAGAAAATACTAGGTATCAGGTTTAGGTGATAGGAGACACTGATGAGGCATAGAAGTTCTTTTGTTTGGAATACTCTCCATATGTTTGTCATAAGACTGGTGATTATTAGTTTCAGGTACCTCCACATGGCACCCCTTGTCAATACTAAATTTGCTGGCTACTTCTTAAAACAGATCAGCTTATGATCCTAGGAGAACAAGTGGTATTGATGGTTATATGATCAGGAGATCGTTGGCAAAGATGCCTACAAATAGTTAACAAGGTAATGGTAAGAAATGTTGACCTTGATTTGTTTAGCTAAGATGTAAAGATTTTTGAAGGTCAAAGGTGTCCTTGTGTAGTGTTTTGGAGTCTAACTGTGTCTGACCCTCTAACATTAAGCTGCTGTGGCCTGCAGTTTTCAAGAGTGAAGCAAACCAGGGGAAAAGAGAGAAGGGGGAGAGAACAGGAAATGGAGTGAGGTGTTTCAGGAAGTTGTCAGGGGTTGACTGATTGATTCCAGATGGAAAAGGTCAGCCTTCGTGACCCAGGAAATACTCACTAGGGAAAGAAGTTGGCTTGTGGAAGGGGAAGGCCTGGGAGTGAGCCGAGGCTGGAATGCACTTTCCACTTCCTTTAGTCTTCAAACATTCAGAAACTTTAACTTCTCCAAAGAGAATAATATCAGTGTTGTCATCATTCATCAGAAAACAGTGAAGGAAGTTAAATTTGGAGCTTTGAATGTACCAAATGTATCTTCACCTCCGTAATGTCCTTCATTCTTCCAGAAGTAGAGTGCATGAATGTAAAAGTCCACGTTTGTGTGTATCTCCACGTACAAGAACAACAACCAAACTTGTTTGGTTTCACGTGGTGGAGTTTGTGAATTAAATCCTTTCCACTTTGCAAATTTGGTTTAATTGGCAAGCTCTTCTAGATACTTGAGAGTCTAAGATGTTTGGAATATTAAAAACGGGAACTTGTCTCGTATCTATATATATACATGCACATACATTTGGACATAATTTAAAATCTTGTAATAAATTTTGCAGACACTGAAATAATTCAGGTTAATTCCCTTGCTGTCATGAGAGGCCAGTGCTAGCCAGCAAGAGATTAAAATTTATTTCCATTGTTAATAGAAAATAATGAAGTGCATCTGAACCATCAGGGTATGTCATTTGGGAAATGTTCACTTTGGAACTGACTCTCACTCCACCCGAATGGACAATGATGAAATCAGCTGGCTTGAGAAAAGCCCATATTTTGTGGCAGGAATGCACGAGGAGCACTAAAGCACAGTATGACAAGAAGCTTGTGGAATGAATTAAAGTGGCCTCAAAGAGAATGCTCTTTACATCCACGTAGGCCCCAGGCAGGCGGGTTCCCCTCACTGTGCTGAGTACAGCTCATTGGCAATTAAAGCCTGAAGCACCCTCTCATTTTTTTCCCCCAGAGATGACAGCTATGTCTTTGAAAATTCATTCACACACACAATTTACCAAAGCGGTCTGATTCCTCTTTTTTTCCACTTCTATTATTTTCAGGGGGTAAATGCTTTCAACTTCATGTTCCTCTTAACCCCATGGCCAGGAGACAGCCTCCCTCTTCCTTTGACTATGATGCCATCCTGTGCTCTGCTGAGATGGCCCTGACAAGGGCTTGTGCCTCGCACATTTACCCAGAGTGATGGATGTCTCCCTCTTATGGTGGCCGCTACATGATAGGAACTTTCTGGAAGGACTTCCTCCAGACTTTTAACAGGTTAACATGAACACAATTGAAAACAGACCCAGAGCTAGACAGGCTGTATCCCTCAATTGTGAGCAATTATATTGATAATAATTTTCTGAATGGCAACTGGAGAAATATTATGCTGTGTTTTGTACTAGTCAGATCATTGGTAAAAATCCTAGAATCTGGCAAGACAATACCGTAGACGTAGCAGGAGTTCAATGAATACCTTTGGGTTGAATGATTGAAGCCCACTCATGTCCAAGTATGATTTCCCGTGTGCTACAGTCATGCCTATGGCACCAGGCTATGTGAGATATTCTGTGGACTCATGGTTTTAGGGGTTTTCCCAAGTCTTCATTATATTAAAGTATACATTAAAAGATTTAAAGGATACCATCTAAAACTCTGCAAGATAAAAAAAAATCAGAAGAGTGTTGCCTCAGGAAGTAGGATTGATTAAGACAACTTTGTAGGGTAATGGAAATATTCTAAATCGTGATATGGTGAGGCTTACCTGCATGTATCCATTTGTCAAAATTGTGCAGCTAAGATTTGTGCATTTCAATGCCTGTAAATTTCACCTAAAAATGGAAATTCATTATACTATTCTGTTTATTTTGTTTACTTGAAATTATTCATAGTAAAAAATTTTAAGTGACATTTAATGAATCTTATTTCATATGAGGAGCTAAGGTAGGATCAAGGTTTGTCCCCCCCTTCACTTAATAAGTAAGGAAGGGGTGGCAGAAAAAATTAAAGAAGAATATAAAAAAATTTAAGTTGGGAGTAGACAGGAAGAGTCATTTTCAAGTACAACTCGTCATTATGTACCTATTTATTGCCCTTCCTTGAAAAGTCTATATGTATGCATGTATGCCCTGGCCAGGTAGCTCAGTTGGGAGCATTGTCCTGTATACCAAAAGAGTTGCAGGTTCAATTCCCACTCAAGGCACATACCTGGGTTGAGGTTTGATCCCTGGTCGGGGTGTGTATGGGAGGCAACTAATCAATGTTACTCTCATCTCTCTCTCTCTTTCTTGCTCTCTCTCTCTCTCTCTCTCTCTCTCCCTCTCCCTCTCTCTCTCCCTCTCCCTCTTCCTCTCTCTCTAAAAAGCAATAAAAACGTATCCTCAGATGAGGGTTAAAAAAGTGTATACACATGCATGAATATGTGTATAACAAGTGGTTTTCTTAAAAAAATTTCCATGTATAACTGACAAGTAGACTCATATCTAGGATAGTTTATCTTCCTGGATCAAGCATGTTGGTGGTAGGTACATTCGAGTCCGCTCTATTCTGCTACACTCTCCCTGCTACTCTGGCCTTGGCTAATCTCTGCCTCTTTGAACTTCTTGCACACTCCTGATCTGCAGCTCACACATAGAATTCAATGGAATCTCATTCCTTGTGCTACTTGCTTTATGTTAGCCATGTATCTCTAGCTTGAACATAAGGTCTTTGAGGGCGGGGTCATGACTGGTAACTTTTGGTCTCTAGCCCCTGTGTTCCCCTTTCTAGAGCCTCCCCCAGAGCATACCAGTGGTTCTCAACCTTCCTAATGCCGTGACCCTTTAATACAGTTCCTCATGTTGTGGTGACCCCCAACCATAAAATTATTTTCATTGCCACTTGATAACTATAATTTTGCTACTGTTATGAATCATAATGTAAATATCCGATATGCAGGATGTATTTTCATTGTTCATGACCCACAGGTTGAGAACCGCTGGTAGACTATGGGAGAGGCTCAGTGAGTAATGTTGTCTGTCCTATTAACTAATCAAACAAGGCAGAGGTGAGGCTATTAGGAGGGGAACTCATTGAGGCCCCACACTGAAAGCTTACATCTATTTATCCTTATTTTGCCTCATTCAGCCCTTGAGAGATAGGCATTGTTTATGTTTTACAGATAAGAAAAATGGACATTCATAAAGGTTGGTGATTTGTCCAAGGTTACAAGTTAGGAAGCAACAGGCGTGGGATTTGAGTTCAGTTTCATCTGACTGCAAATCCATGCTCTTTCACTCTTCCATACCCAACTCTTCCCTTTCCTCTGGTTAGATACTGAACGCTCTACAGTCTCAACACTGAATTCCAGCAATCTGACCTTCTTGCCTAAAGCCTGAGCATCTCTGCCACTGCTCTCTAGTGGGCAGGGACACCACAAACAAGTCACCAGCAGCATCTCCATGCCAGCCTTACACTAGCACATGTCAGAGGTGCAAGGACCCATTCCTGTTCTGGGAGAAACGACCTCCCAGCTGGTGCTCAGTTCTTAGCCTCCTGATCACACACAGTCAGTCCCTTGTTGCAACGGTCAGCTGGGAATGAGTGTCCAGGTCCTTTGCTAGAGAACTACATTTCTAGAAGCAGCAGGCACAAGCCCAATTTCCCCATTTCATCATCTGAGCATAGTCTGAATACAAATATGTGATAGCACATGGGTGAAGGGCAGTCTCTTTTTCCATGAAGCTCTTCCCATAATTATAAGAGGAGGTGAAATGTCAAGAGCATGGCCCTGTCCCCAAATTCTGTTCCATTTCTTGTCAGCTATATGGAAATCTGGCAAACAGAATTCTGTTATATTTACTACCTTATATAAAACTAAGTCCATTTTTTTTTTACTTTAAATATGCAGGTTGTGTTATCAACAACAGTGAATGTGGATGGACATGTGTTGGCTGTTTCTGACAACATGTTTGTTCATAACAACTCAAAGCATGGGCGGAGAGCGAGAAGACTGGACCCTTCGGAAGGTAGGGCTGTCTGCGGGCAGGGTGAGAATGGCAGACAAATGAAGTTCTCCACAATTTCCTCGTTTGAATTTCAAATGTATGCTTCTGAGTAGGAGTGGAGAAAGTACACAAGACCATGTGGGTTTTAAAGTGAAGTTGTAAACACTGACTCCCGCATACTCCGTTGTAACCCCACACATCTCCCCGCGATGTTTAAAGACCCCATGCCTCAGTCTGTTCCATTCAGTTGTGTTTTTCTTTTTGCTAGGCAGGTATTTCAGGCAAATGTAGGCCTATGACATCTTAGTTAAACAGGAACATTATAGTGCCAGACATGTATGAATAAGTGTCAGATGTGCCCTTAAACAGATTGTGGGCAAAACAAAACAATGTGCAGAATGAAACTGACACTAATTGATTTTTGTTTGCTTGGACTAGAAGAAATCATGGTCTGCTCTGGGTAGTTTTCCAAGTGCATTAAAGTAATTAGAAATACAGGTAACTGTTAAACTTCAACTTGTCTGAAAAATTTAAGTATATTGAGGAAGATAACTGACAAACCTAAGTAAAGCCCATCTGAGTTCTTCTCTTTCCTTGCCCACTCCCCACTCCCTGGAGTAGGAGGTTATGGACTACATGAATAGTGAAATTAGGGACTATTTTAGTGTGATGCTTGGCTGTATACTGCTCACCAGCCCCCCACCCCAACTCAGCCTTTAAAATGTGTCTTGTATCATTTAAAATAGGAATTAATGAACTGAAAGAAAATGATTGAATCAGTAAAGAATTTGGAGTGGTGTTAATTCTCCCACAGTGGGCACTGAAGGGGAGACGAAAACCCCAGGGTTCAGAACTAGGAACCCATCCAGTTTCTTTTGACTGATTGGATGTGATTGACTGGCTGTTCAAAGGGGGCTCATGTTTTTGGAATCCTGCCAAAGTTCTCTCCCACCTTTGACCCTGTCAGCTTTGGAAATGGAGTGATGGATTGACTTTAGTTATGGCCTGAAAACCATATTGGGTTCCTGTTGGGATGTAAAGTCCAGAGGCCTCAAACATATGGAAGAAGGGAGGAAATCCTTCCTACAAAGTTAGGAAAGTGATTAGAAATTGTCTCTTGATAGAGCAGAAAAAGCCTTCACCTATGACAGATTTTACTTTCTCCTTCTCTCTCTCTGGCACATTAGCAGGCCTTGTAAATCTTGACATCTTAGTGCAGAGGAGGTGGAGAGAGAAAAGGGATTTACACGTTTCCAGTGTGGTCAACTTATAAAAATATGGGGGGGAAGAACAAGTTCTAAAAACACCCTTTGCACAATTAGCTAAGTGTTCCATGTTTTCATACATAGTGGTCAAATCATTAGGCTTTAATGACCTGGTGAAAACCAACAACCAATTAAGGAATGATGGCAAGTCAGCAAAGCTCAACTTGAACTTCTTGGAATGATCAACAGCCTTTAAGAGCAGTCAGTTTCCCGAACTCTAAACTTCAACCACCAAAGGGCAGACCTGACTTTTCTTTTCTATCTTTTTAGCTACCCCCTGCATCAAAGCCATTAGCCCAAGTGAAGGCTGGACCACAGGAGGAGCCATGGTCATCATCATTGGGGACAACTTCTTTGATGGCCTCCAAGTGGTGTTTGGGACTATGCTTGTATGGAGCGAGGTAGGCCCGGGCAACTTGCTTTCCTGATTTTCTTTGGCCCAAAGATAGTTTTGCTCTGGGTTTGAAACTAGTAATTCCTGTAGTATCAGCAGCATGAATGCACACTATTAAGTACCAAAGATTAGCCACATGTAAACCACAATTTATTGCAGGCATGGATAACTTAAAAATATAAATATTCATTGCAGTATTATTTATAATTTTGAAAAAATAAGAATAGTCATATTGGGTAAATAAATGATGGAATATCATTACACCATTAAAAATTGTGGGTTGTTTTTTTTTTTTTTTTTTGCCCTAGCCAGTTTGGCTCAGTGGATAGAGAGTTGGCCTATGGACTGAAGGGTCCTGGATTTGATTCTGGTCAAGGGCACATGCCTGGGTTGCGGGCTCAATCCACAGTAGGAGGCGTGCAAGAGGCAGCCAATCAATGATCCTCTCTCATCATTGATGTTTCTATCTCTCTCTCTCCCTCTCCCTTCCTCTCTAAAATCAATAAAAATGTATTTTAAAAAATTGTGTTTTGAAAAAATTCTAATGACCAGGAGAAGGGTGCATGTTTATGCTGTAATGCTAAGTGGAATAAAAAATCAGGACAACATTGTCTGAGGATGTAAAGTCTAATTATGTAACATCCATCCATAGAAAAGTACTGGAATATGCAATGTTAATATTTTTCCTTATATTTTTCTGTAATTTCTAAATTTTCTAAAGTGGATATGTTCTACTTTCATAATGGGAAAACCAACAAGACATGTTACAGGAAGATAACTACTGATGTTAAGTTGGATGTGGAAGTTGCCAAATCAATATGTGAGGTTATAGCAGTATAGGAATTAGGGGGAGAGTATGATTACAGGGATGGGGGTGGGGTGGGCACAAGAGGTGGGAGGGACTTGAGCTGGGCTAGTAGGAAGGAGAGGATCTAGATCTAGACAGTGTAGGTTGAGAGAAAATTCCAGGGTGTGAGAGAAAAATGTGAGAGACAGGGACAGGGTATTCAGAGTGTTTGGGGTGCCGTGACTATGCCAGTTTGCCCTGGTGGGAGTAGTCGTGGGAGATTCTCATGTTCTCAGTATCCTTGGTGATAACTTCTATAATAGGTGTTTCATTTCCATGCCTGTTCATTCCTCAGCTAATCACTCCTCATGCTATCAGAGTTCAGACTCCTCCTCGACACATCCCTGGAGTGGTGGAAGTGACTTTATCTTATAAATCCAAGCAGTTCTGCAAAGGCGCTCCAGGAAGGTTCATTTACACAGGTGAGTGAGAAAATGATTCCAAAGGGGACTGGCCCCTGGTTCACCTTTGGTCTAATTCCAAGTCTCTCTACTTTTTCATCATTCTAAATTTACTAGGTCTTTCTGCTTGTGTGGGAAGACTGGACTGGATAAAAGGCATTGAATGGGAAAGTATAGACTTGATTCTAAATTTGTATTCTACTTAAGCAGTTTCTGCACAGTCTGGGAGATGGTCATGGCAGCTCATCTCAGGGGTACCTCCTTATACATTTAACTCTGCTGGAACCTTGCTAGGATAGACCTTTATTCAAGCAACCAGACAAAAAAAATAGACAAAGTTGCTGGATATAACTAATTTTCTTTTTTAAAATTTTGTTTTATTGCTTAAAATATTACAAAGAGTAGTACATATGTCTCCTTTTTTCCCCCTTGACCTTCCCCTGGCTTCCCCTACCCCCCAGTGTCTTGTGTCCATTGGTTATGCTTATATGCATGCATACAAGTCCTTTGGTTGATCTCTTACCGCCCCCCCCAACCCTCCCCGGCCTTCCTGCTGTAGTCTGACAGTCTGTTCGATGCTGCTAACTAATTTTCTTGAAAAGGATCAAGGGAGTTGCCCATTGATGCTGCAGAGTGATTCAAATGGTTTTAAATTGTATGAAAGTATACGTTACCTATTATATATCTCAATATTTGTTGAATAATCTACCTTGTATCTACAACCTTTTCTAGGTGTAAGGTACAGGGACATATAATACATGGTCCTTACTGTACTGGGAGTTTAGAACTTTTGGAGGAGGCAATGGTACATTACCCAGAACAGCTAGAGAATTAGAATATTCAAAATGCATGGTATTTTCAATGAATGGAATATGAGTTCCAGGAAAAGAGGGTTTAGTGTGGACTAGAGTTAGTGGTATGATATATTAAGGGAGAAATGGACATTTGTAAGGATGGGAGGGTTTAGATAGGCAAAGAGAAGGAAAAATGTTTCAATTATGGGAAACTCATGTGCAAAGGCCCAGGGGGTGAGGTGAGCAGGTGGCAATATATTTGGGTAGACCTTAGACCAGAACTTAGTTTAGATGATCTAGGCACAGGAAGAAGGGAAACCGCAAAACAGCTTAAAAACCCTGTATAATATGAAGAGAGTAATCAAATTCATAGAGACAGAAAGTTGAATGATGGTTTTTAGAGGATGAGGGTAGGGAGAATGGGAGTTGTTGTTTAATGGGTATAGAATTTCAGTTTTGCAAGATGAAAAGAGTTCTAAAGATTGGCTGCACAACAAAATGTGAATGTATTTAACACTATTAAACTATACACTTAGAAATGGTTTAAGATAATAAATTTTGTTATATTTTCCCATATAACAAATTCTACCATAATTTGGGGGAAAAAAGCTTTGATTGGGAGTTCAGACTTGATTTGGTAAGATATAAGATGACATTGAGGGTTCCCATGCAAGGGAAAGTAACTCAAAAGTGCTATCTTAGGATAAATGAATGTGGTTGATATAAAGACTGATTTAGTTGTGGGGGAGGGGACGGCAGCCAAGGAGACCTGGAGAAACTGAAACCAGGATATTATACTTTGAAAGAGAAAATAGGGGTATCGAGAAAGAAATATATAAACCAAGAAAATACATCAGATATATTATGACTTTCTAATAATATCATTTTATAGTTTACTCTCTCATTTGGACTCAGCCTCTATTCTGATTTGAGTATCAATGTCTGCTTAGATGTCAATGAGGAGTAGATGGAAGAGGGTTGGAGGAGATGGCCACAGAAGGGGTTGTAAATACAGGATGGAAGAAGTCTATATGGGGCCTCAGGAGCACCGATATGTAGGGCTCAGGATGATAAGGAGGAGTCTGTGAAGGAGAATAAGCAGAAGTAATCGGTGGGGTAGGAGAATACCAGGATCATGTGCGGTCCCTCAAGTCTGGTGAGAAATGGGTGTCACTCCAGGATGCTTTCCACATATAGAGCTCCGGCACCTCTATTTTCCCTGACATGGATGACAGGTCAGGACTGAGAGGAGATGAGTAAGACTAATACCATTTATGGTGCAAACAATCCTCAACTCTCTTCTGAAGTAACAAACAATCTCCATATTCAGTGGGTCTATCGATGTCTGGAGCCAAGTGGTGTGTGTACATGCGTGTATGTGTGTGTGCGTGTGTGTGAGCATGTGCATGTGCATGCATGTGTGTGTGTATGTATGTATACATGTGTTAACTTCCTCTGAAAGCAGGGGTTCTCACCCTTGCCTTCACCTCAAATCACTGATGCCCAGGCTGGACCCTGGACCAAATAGATTTAAATCTCTGAAGATAGGACCCAGGTATCAGTGTAATCCATATATTTGTTGAACAAACATCAGCTCCAAATTATGCTCAAGACACAAAATCAATCATATCAGTATGTCTCTAACAGCTCAGTTCTAGAAGGGGAGGGAGGTAGGTACTTGTAGTTATGATAATTGGGTTGAGTCCCATAAGAGATGTAAAAGCAAAATGGGTTGTTGGAGCACTGAGCAGGGAGTAGTTGACTTTGGGGAACCATTGAAGGCTGTTCAGAGGAGGTGACAATAGAGTGGCATTTCAAAAGCAAAGTAGGAACTTACCAGAGTGCCTGGTAAAAGAGGAGTCCACATAACTGTGAAAATAATAGATGTTATGCTACATGTAAATTCAAAGATGTTATGCTACATGTAAATTCAAAGAATCCTAGAGATGATGAGACATTGAAGATCAACTGGTGAAACTCCCTCTTTTGCAGATGAGAAAAGTGAGGTTCAGGGAGAAGTGACTTGCCCACAATCATCCATTACGTTACAGGTGGAGTCAGAACACGGACCCAGGTGTCTGCCCATCCCGCCTGGGGAGTCTTTTATTTAGCATATAGTGTTGACAAAGAGCTCTCTTTTCCTAATGAGCCATTAATGACTATTTATGAAATAAATAGTGCTTGAGCACATGCACTAGGCTCAGCACTGTGCTCTGTGCTGGGCATACTGCAGATGAGTCAGACCAGCAGGGTTCTTGCTTCCTCAGCGCCACGATGTAGTGATGTAAAGGTGGACTGCTCATGCTCTGGAGTCACTGCCTGCACGCACAGTTTGGCTTTCCTCTAAGTTTATGTCACTTACACAAATCTTGGGTAAGTGACATAAACTCTTAGTTTCTCATGTATCAAATGGGCTACCTACCTCTCAGAGCTGTGGTGAGGATAAATAATAGAAACAGTGGTGTGCTGGTAAAAGCTTAACAACCAGGTCTCCAAGTTCAAGGTGAGGGTGTGGGAAATCGGTTTATAGCATTTGCTGATTTCCATGGTGCAAATACTCTCCCCATGGCTCATTTCAAGCTACCAATATGACATCAACCAGCTCACAAAATTCCTGAAAATTTAACAACCTGCCCTCATAAGCCAGCTCTAGAACACCTCTGTATGGAAGGCATTTGGGATAGAGAGCAACTAGATCTTATTATTCAAAAGGTGTTTATTATTCATATTATTCTTGTTATTTCTATTAGTCTTATCGTAATGGAGACTGATGAACGAGAAGTTACAGATGCTATGAGGATTAAAAGTTGTATAGGATGCTGTGGATATATGCCAGGGAAGTTGAACCTTCTTGAACTGAGATGATAGGGAAGGCTAAGAACAGTCCAAACACAGAAAACAGTACATGCAAAGGTCCTGGGGTAGAGAAGAACATGAGATATATTTGATGGCCACTATGAATAGGGCAGAGAGAATGAGTTAAAGAGAGGTTGGGTTCAAGCTGGAAGGGAGGGTTTGGGCTGCTTATTTGGTCCTACCCCTAATGAACACTAAGGATATTTTCAATCCGTATGAAAACACGGAGAGACATTGGAGTATTTTAAAGCTGGGGAATCTGTGATTAGATTTGCCTTTTAAAAGATTATTCTGGCTGCAGTGTAGAGAATGGCTAGGAAGTTAGGGAGGATTCAGGGAGGTCAGTTGGAGGCCAGTGTGGTGGCCCCGGCTAGAAATGATGGCAGCTTGGACGAGCTTGCTGGTAGTGGGGACAAGCTGAAGTGGGTGAAATTTAGGAGGTAGCATTGACGGGACTTGATGATTGATTGGATAGGGTAAAGGTTGGGAAAGGGAGGGGAGGGGAAGACTCTCAGGTTTCAGGTTTGAAAAATTGGGTGGGTATAGTTTAGCAAGTGATTTTTAAAAAGGTATAAAGTGCTAAAGGGAGTTCAGGGGAAGGACAAAATCCTTCCAGCTGGCGGAGTGGTGGGGAGATTTAATATTGTAAAGATGCCAATTAATGAATAAATTTAACACAATGCCAATCAAAGTACCCACAAAATGTTTGGGGAAACTTTACAAAAGTTCACTGAGGTGCTAAAATAGAACCTCTCATTTTGAAAAATGAGAGGGCTTTGCCCTACCAGACATTAAAACCGATTTTCAGTAATTAAAAGAATACGGGACTTTGCAAGAACATATAGAAATGCCACACAACAGAAGAGGATAGTTAAAAATAAGTAAGTTGTAGGCCTGGCCGGGTGGCTCAGTTGGTTGGAACGTTGTCCTGTACACTAAAAGGTGGTGAGTTTGATTCCCTATCAGGGTACTTACTAGGTTTTGGGTTCAGAGCATGTGCGGGAGGCAACCAATCAATGTTTCTCTCTCATATTGATATTTCTTCTCTCTTTCTCTCTCCTTCCCTCCTTCCCTCCCTCCCTTTCTTTCTCTCTAAAAATCAATAAAAGCATCCTCCTGTGAGGATTTAAATAGATAGATAGATAGATAGATAGATAGATAGATAGATAGATAGTTTGTGTACATATGAATGGTGTAAATACATAAGTACCTGTTGTATAGGTGAGGAGCCATCTCAGGTCCGCATGGAAAAGATGGAATGTTCAACAAATGGTGTTGGGCCAACTGGTCAAGCATTGAAAAACAGATACCTAATTTCATATCATGACCGAAACATATGTGAATTAAATAATTTTAACACAAAATGTAGAT